GCTTTTGAGTGAGTCCAATCTCACCCACTATGTATTTTATTTGCCAAACTGTCATGGTTGGTGGTTGGTAGAGCTATGTTATGTCGGTAGCCCTGTTCTCAGAGGGCATACACATGCTCCCCAAAGTTTCCTTGGGCTGGGCTGGTAGTTCCTGGCTACGCTCCAATCAGCCAGTCAGATCTCCTGGGAAGAGGGCTTAGAGGTCCATGAACACCCCTTGTAGCTTTGCCTCTTGGCCTTATTTGTGTGAAACCTGGGCCTTCAGGATTCAGGCCTTCCAGAGGCACCACTAATTGGCAGGCTCTGCCTTCGAGTTTGATTATTTTAGATTTCACATCTAAGTGAGATTCTGCAGTATTTGACTTCCTGTGTCTGGCTTATTTCAGTTAGCACAGTGTTCTCCAGGTTCATTCTTATTGTTGCAAATGGCAGAATTTTCTTCTATTTTAAAATTGAAGAAATTTACATGTGTGTGTACATACATACACACACATACATACATACACACACACATATATCACCTTTTTTATCCATTGACATACATTTAGGTTTTTCTATATCTTGGCTCTTGTGAATAATGCTTCAATGGATATAAGAGTACAGGTATCACTTTGAGATATTGATTTCACTTCCTTTGGATATATACGCAAGAGTGGAATGCTGGATCATACAGTAGTCTTTTTTAAAAAAATTTGAGGAACCTCCATACTGTTTTTTGTAGTGGCCGTACCATATTATATTCTCACCAATAGTATGAAAGGACTCCCTCTTCCCCACACCTTCACCAACGCTTGTCAGTAACTACTTAATGAGCACCAACCAAGTCTTGGGTCCTGTGCCAGGCAGCGGGGTTGCTGTGCTGACTGCGCAGGCATGGCCTTTGCCCCCAGGAGACTCAGTCCCAGGTCTTTGCACCCCCGTGCAGCTCCCGCGGAAGTTCATCTCCATCCTTGGCCTTGGTCTTCTTGCTGTCCCCAAAGCTTAAAATATTCTGCACATTTTCCCATTCCCTCTTCCAGACCACTTATAAGAAATGATAATAAGACTAGTCATAACACCAGTGCTTGGGGAGTCCCCCAGTTCCCACTTCTCCACACAGAAGTGTGTCTTTTCTGTCTCTAACTCAGCCCTTTCTCTATGGCCAAACTGCCCAAAGTCCCACGGAGACTCATTATTTTTAAGTGCCTTGTAAATGTGGAACCTTGTCAAAGGCTCTTGGAAAATCTACATAGCTAAGAGGCACGTGCTGCGCTATGAATCAGGAGACCTGGGTTCCAGTCCTGAACGTCATTGGTTTATCCTGGAATTTGGAGCAAGGTGTAGAGCAGCCCCAGTCTCGGTTGCTTCATCGGTAAAATGAGAAGGACTATGCCGGCAGTCAACATCATAAAAATTTTACAGCCGTCAGATGAAACACTGTTATTTAGGAATGCTTTGAAAGGTATAAAACAGAATATAAGGGATCATAATTTTGAAAATTTACAACAGCCCCTTCTTCATTCACAGGCATGATCCTCTCCCCGAAGAACTCAGCAGCAGACAAGGTCCCTCCGGCACCCCCAGGGCAATGTTTATTTAACACCATCTACTGTCAATCCTTGAAGGGATTCAGGTTTATCTGACCAATAGTGTAGTATGTAAATGCATAGAAGCCGGGACGCTAGAATCAGTCAGACCCGGGTATGGGTCAAGGCCATGCCATCAATAACTGGGTGACCATGAACAAGTTATTAACCCCCTCTGAGCCTCTCCTGTAAATGGGGTTATATTAATGTTTATCTCATAGAGTTTTGAGATTTTTTTTATTAAAGGGTAGTTGGTATACAATATTAAATTAGATTAAGATGTACAATATAGTGATTCTACATTTACATAACTTAGGATGTGTTCACCACACTAAGTCTAATAACCATCTGTCATCATGCAAAGTTATCACCTTACTGTTATTATGATGAGATTTTAGTGGGAAGGTAAATGCAAGTAGAATGCTTAGCATCGTACCTGGCACTACTGAGTATTAACCACTCTGGTTGCTGTTGTTTTGTAAGAGCCCAACCACTGGCAACCGGCCCATCCTACTTAAATTTTATGATTGTCCATCATTCAGCAAATCCCATTTCAAATGCCTTTTACCTGTATTTTGTGTGAGATTCTTTCGGTTTTCTGAAATAAGTAGTGAATGGGGTGGGGTGGGAGGAAAGGGAGACCTATCTTTCCAATAACTGATTTCCTACCCAGGCAGAATGTGGAAGGGCGGCTATAACTCTATCCCGCCTCCCTGGGGAAGGCCAGCCTGGAGGACTCGCTCCCTAGTTAATCCCTCTGTCCCTGCTTTTCTTCGGATGTCCACCTACATCCAGCACATCACCTCGTCCTAAAGAGCAGGGGAGTTGGAACTAAATGATAAAGAAGATCGCTCAGGCACGAAATCCAACTTCCCTTGGGGAGCCTGCTCCTGCCAGCGGCCTGAGGGGACTGGAGACCAGCCAGGGTGCTCAGTGCCACTCTTGTCACTCTCTTGATGCTGCTCCAGAGGTGACTCGCAGCTGGAGGTGAAGCCTGGCTGGGCTGGGGGCCAAGGCCATCACTGTGCAGCCAGACTTGGGTGGTAATCTCAGCTCGCTCTGCATGAGCTCCCATTTCATTCAGATTAAGTCGGGACCTGGCCAGGTAGATGTCTGGTGGCTGGGGGAGTGGGCACGGGAACAGCAGGAGGGTTATTGGAATTGGAGGCATTTTGATTTTCAGAGATAAACAGATCTCTCTTTAATTCCTTTACTAGTTTTTAGTGGTTGTTTTTAATGAGCTTAATGGGAAATCAGCAAAGAGGAGTTTTAACTTCATCAATGCATTTCTTCACTTTTAGAATCAATATTTGTCAAGCTCAAGTATGTGGGCATCACTGTCAGGAATGACTGGTGAAAGCCACTGGGATTGTACAGAGCAGAGAAGTGACCTCAGCTTCCTGCCTCGGTCGCACCCCAGGAAGGACCTGTGAAACTCAGCGAGGAGCATGCCTCTCACAGTCAGAGTTCTCTCCCCAGATTTTACAGCCCGGGCCAGGTGTTAGGTCTCATTTTCCTCACCTATGATCTGTATGTCAGTTAGGATTTTGGATATTGAAAAAGCCTTTTTATTACTTTAACAATAAGGAAATATCTTGAGTAACAAGAGAGTCTTGACATAGGACTTTGGGGTTATTTTGATTCAGCGACTCAGGAAATTTTTTTTCTATCTCTGCTCCTGGCCTTCCCTGGTTCCAGCTCCCCTCCTTAGCACAAAAGTGCTGCCTGCAGTTCTTTGGGCTCCTGTTTCTCTGACCCTGCTGAGGGTGAGGAGATACCCTCTCTTACCCCATCATGAAACACAGTCCCCGCTTTGCTCTGATTGCACTTGCTGATTGGCTTGGGCCTGCTTTCTCTCCATCACTGTGATAAGAGAGTGAGATTAAATAGACTTGTTTATGACCATCAAGGACCCCCACAGCAAGCAGGGAATGGGTCCAACCCCACCCCAAAGGTGAGAGAGGGTAGAATGGGTGCTGGAGGGGTCATACAGGACATGACAAATCAGCACTAAAGTCATAAGATTGACAGGTTATGTCAATAAGGAATTATATGAAAAACCATCTCTCTGATGTCTAGGAAGGGCTTAAAAATAATGGATAAAAGTAAAACAAATAAACAAACGGAGCCTGGGACAAACCTAAAATCACACACGTGAATCACGAAGTACCCTGGTGTCAGAGTTCAGTGAATGCAACAGAAACGAGAGGCAGCCGCCTTTCAGGTGACTTGATGGGTTAGTTGTCATTAATGTGGTGTCCCTGCTATAATGTAGTTCCTCTGAATAGCTCTCCTGTTCTTCATCTTATAAGAGGTCAAAAATTAAATACTGAAAATTAAAAATAAGAGTACGTAGTGGGGATATTTGGAATATAATTTTTTCTTTAGTGTTTTTTTTGTTTGTTTGTTTGTATGGTTTTTTTTAGAGCCTTACATGGTATCTAATCAAGTTTGGTGATCTCCTAGCTCTCGCCTCTCCTATTTCCCTTCGTGCTCCCCTCATCCTTCTCACAATGTTGACAGTGTTTAGTCCTGACGTATGTGTGTGGCCCTCTCAGTACTGGGTAGTGATCCTATCAAATCTATCAGCTCAGACGTGTGATGATTCTGATCTAGAGTGGGAGCCAGCTTTTCTAGACCTGTCCTCCGTCATGGGGGGTATGGGCAAAGCTCTTTCCTGGCTGTCCCCACATTGTCCAAGCAGTAACAGGAAGGACCTGTGGATGGGCCAGGGACAATCTATCTGCTAAGTGTTCTTGTTCTGGGAAGACTGAGGATGACTCATGCACAAAGAGTTTTCCTGGAATGTCCACTCCCCTTTCCCTGGGGACACAAATAGCACCTCTAGGAGGTTTCAGGATCCTCCATCTACACCAAAATCTGAGATATGAGCCACTGGTTTCAATGGCCAGAACGAGCCCACTCAGTGTAAAACTTCTTGGTGCCCCTCATCTGGTTCCCTCCAAGGCACCACAGGGATAGCTGGGTACCAATGTCTAAGAATCAGCTCACGTTGTTTCACCCACATGTTTTCTGTTCGCAAATGTGGCCAATACTATTTATTGCCTTTCTGTTACAGAATGACACTCTGCTCTGAGGCAGCTTCAGTTATCCACTGTTCCCCAATCCCAGACCCGCTCCCCACTGCCAGCGCCATCCTCTTCTCCAAAACTTACCTGAGCCACAGGGAACCAGAGAAAAGAACTCCGGTGCTTGGTGAAGCACGGTGTGGTCCCCCAGTCCCCTCTTTTTGCCATTCCCAGCATGAGGCCGTGGTGAGCGGTGTCGCTCCTGCTCTTTTGGGCCTGGCCTCTGGGCACTGTGGAGACAGAGCTCACTGCCTCTGCCCGGGCTGTCGGAGGGTCTCGGGGCTGAAGCTCCACTGCGAGCAGGGCAGGATCTGAACTCACCTCTGCTCTCCTCCCCTCTCCACAGATCCGGGTGGATGGACCCAGGGGCAACGCCCTCCAGTATGAGACGGTGCAGGTGGTGGAGCCGGGCCCTGTGCTCCGGGATATGGCCTTCTCCAAGGACCACGAGCAACTCTACATCATGTCAGAAAGGCAGGTAAGGCTCTCTGAGCTCTGTTAGACATTTGTCTTGCAGCTAAGTACTAGCCTGT